GTGACAGCACCAGGTATGACTGCTGCCAGGTGAGACAGTCACCAGGTGTGACGGCTGCCAGATGTGACAGCACCAGGTATGACTGCTGCCAGGTGTGACTGTCACCAGTGTGACAGCTGCCAGATGTGACAGCACCAGGTATGACTGCTGCCAGGTGTGACTGTCACCAGTGTGACAGCTGCCAGGTATATTGCCACCAGGTGAGACAGCCGCCCGGTATGGCAGCCAGCAGAATGACAGCTGCGTGACTGCTGCCAGGTGTGACATGTCATTTTCCTGTGTACTTGTGCACGTATATGAAGGGCATGACTTCCTAGCTCTCAAATTACTGGTCGAAGGCGTTGGGCTCTTTGTTTAAAGGCTGGTTGCAGAGGGGCTCGCAGGAGCTGGTCCCTCCCCACTCCCTTGTGGAGACAAGAAAGTCCAGAGACATGCAGTGATTACCCCAGTGTCACCCAGCAGTTGGGGTGGTGCACTGAGGACCCAAGGCCCCACCTGTCCAGTGCAGACCATGGCCACGCCCCCACCTCCCTGAAATACTGCTGCCCGGGTCTGGCTGGAAGGCGACCTGCGCATCAGTCCCGATGGAGGGGCTCTGCTCCACGTGTGCCCTCCTGGTCTAGATTTCCCCAGGGACCGCTTGGGCCGAAGCCGTGTGCTTGGTAAATCAAATGTTAGAAAACCACAATGGCTTTAATCAATTCACCGAGGTGGTGGTGGCCCCTCCCCCTCAGCTAGGCTCAGGGCCTTGGAGGAGTCAGGGTGAGGAAAAGGGGGCAGGATAGTCCCCATGGGGGCTGGTGGGAGCAAGAGGTCCCCAGGGTGTCTTTCGGAGCCTGGTCCTACCAATCCATTACCACAGGGACTGAGAAGTGGGGACTAGGAGGGACAGGGAGGTGGCGGCCCACGGGATCTGTCCCCGGCCAGGGCGTGGAAGCAGGCCGCTCCTGGGGGAGGAAACTGATCATCGCCTGCCCTGTGGCCACAGATAAGGAGGTGTTCATCAAGTGTCCCTGGAGGCCGGTGGAGGCACCCTGCTGCACCGGGGCAGCGCTGACAGTGTCCTCCAGCGGCCGCTGGGGGAGCCAGGAAGGAAAGGGTGCGTTCTGGCCTCCAGGTCTTAGCTGTTCAGCGCCCCTCACCGCCCCTCTCGGAGTGCACCCTGCTAACCACCTCCTCCACCTGCCCCTCCCCACAGCTGCGTTCCTGTTGGCATGGTCTACGCCCCCAGGCTGGGGACCACGCACAGTAGGCAGTTCGCCTTGTACCC